TCGTGCCCGTCTTCAAAAATGGTATGCGAGCTGCCTGCGTTAACCACAGAGGGATTAGTATCAGCTGTGTTGTTACCAAGATGCTCGTCGCTCTGCTATTTAGGAGGTTAAGCCTAGTACGTGAACAGAGCATACGTGAAGAGCAGGCTAGGTTTCGCTCTGGTCGGAATTACATCGATCACATCTTTACACTCCGCCAAATACTCAAAAGTCGTCAAACATTTGGTCGGACAAACATCGTTGTCTTAGACATACAAGCCGCGTTTGACTCTGTTGGCCGAGCTGCTCTCTGAAGTTGTCTATTGAGCAGGAGAGTGCCCAAGAAGTATGTCACCATACGTCAAGTCATCAGCTCACAAATCTCGGGTGAGTGCGGATATACGGCGGACATTTGCGCCCGTTCAGTATCACCAATTGCGTGAGACAGGATTGCTCAGCATCCCCTTCTTGTTCAATTGCGCTATGGACGAAATCATAGAGTGTTCTGGAGAACTGCGAACGCAGCGGCGTCGAGCTGCTCCCAGGGCACCGACTTAGGGATCTGGAGTATGCATACGGCATCGCAGTAATCTATTCTTCACAGGTCGCCCAAAATGTCCTGTGTAGATAGATTGGAGATGTCCGTCACCCAGTTCGGAATGACTTTCGAACCATCGAAGTACAAGGCTTTCCTGCGGGATTGGTTAGGCCCTACTCCCATCCTTACCCATTCAGGTCATTTGTTGGACGTGGTAGACAAGTTCGTTTACCTCGGAAGCTGCATCAGTGCTAATGGCTTAACGGATAAGGTCTCTTTGCGCATCTCCAAAGCTCGGGTTACTTTTGCTAATCTCCGCCATCTCTGGTGTCGAGGCGATTTAAGTTTGCAACGCTACGGTGAGAGCGGTTCCGCTCTATGACTGCGAGACAGCCAATTCGCGCAAAGGATGTTGAGAGGCTATCTGTTTTCGATCACCGCTGCTGGTGTATGATGCCAACATTACACTAGTAATGAGGATGTTCGAAGGAGGATTATCCGACTGGATAAACTTTTGCCGGCCACCGAGCAGCATAATTTCATTGCGCAAACTTCAGTGGCTTGGGCATGTTCTTTGCACGCCCACTCATAGTTTACCTCTCCGTGCCCTCTTCGCGGGCGCAGAAGTCGACGGGAAACGAAAGTAAGGTAGACACTGTATGAGTTGGGCTAAAAGCATGAAGGAGCTCCCCACAACGTTAGCTGTTGTCAAGCACTCTTGATTTTTTGGTGGGGGCACAAGGGTCACGCATAGCTGGAAATGTTCTAGGATATGGCATGAAACTGTGCGCAATGGTGGATCAATTGTAACACTCTATTCGCATGAACACTTAAATTCTTTTTCTCTCTCTTCGTTTGCTTATTATATTCCCCATACTTTGTGGCACCATGCCAGTTGTACTATTGGCCGTGTTCGATATGTCGAATATATATATATATACCATCCAAGAATTGTAGAATGCAACATCCGGATGTAGCTTGAGCACTGACATCTGAAATGTATATGAGGATCAGCCTGACAGCCGATTTTATCCACCCCGGATTTGTGGGAAGCGCAACTCTTGCTACCAAGGCATTATTATTATTATTATTATTATTATTTGGGAATTCCTCGCATTTTCAACGTATTTTTTGCATCATTAGTAGTGCGTATTCATCGAATCCATCAGGATTCGAACCCATAACCCCCAGCCGTTTGCACCGCCCGGCAGCATCTTATGCTACAGGGGCATGAGAGGCAGCGTCGGACCGTCACGATTCGCAAGCGAAGTTCCATGCAAGTTACGAACGTTGCAGAAGGCAGGGTTGACCCCGGAACACATGAAATCCACTGACAGTAGCTATGAACGACATAACATTATAAATGGTTACGGCAGGTGTTTTGATGTACTCATGAGCAAGGGATGTTGGTACAAGTACCAGGGAGTTTGTCGCACCAGCTTCCAATTCAGATAATCCCACACATACCCGTAGAAGCACTACTGATGATGCCCGAACAAGTTAAAACGGTAGTCCAGTGCTTATCCGGGTATGTGGAAGATTGACTGATTTGGAGGCTGGTGCGATAAACGCTCAATTTAGTACATCAAAATCTCCTGCTCATGAGTGTCACTACTACTACTACTACTACTACTTCTATAGGTACTATCGCCAGTGCGCATTAGAGATGTCACCTCGATTGGTGACGAAACCTCTCTGATTGAATTGCTCAGCTCGGTGAGGAAACCAACCTCTGAACAACTAACCCGACCTACCACTGTTTCTATACGTTGCACATCCTCTAATTGCTTCAAATGCAAATTTTAATAAACCAAATACATTGAACCTTTTCCTCCTCTCCTCTCTCGGAGTCTTGACAAAATTGGATGTCCTCTGAGAAAATGCAAAGCAACGAGCAACACGAATGTCAAAAAGTTAGTCGCCACTTTGAACCGTTAACCAAATAGCGTCACTCGAGTATACCGGACTAGTCTGCTACACACTAGAACCCCACTCAAGGTTAGATAAAAAAAACTACTCTCAAATTCATTGTCACGATTTACATGTTGCGTGGACAAGTGAACACAGTAATTAAACAATCTGATCTGACCCTCCATGGGTGTCCTCTCGTAAGAGCGAGAAACATTCTCATTCACAACACTGAACAAAGTGTGGATCGTTACCGTAAAGCTGTACGTACCAGTCTCATAGAATGATTGCGAAACGGGCTTGTAATCCAAGTCTAGTAGTGATACACGAACCACGTGGAACGGTGATAGATGAGAGTCCAGACCAGAGTAGCAAGGCGTGGTTAGAAACGGAAGCCTTTGATTGCGGTGAATAGTGCTATTATGCAACACGTTGGCGGATGTGCTAATGACCCGAAAGCATCATGGACGTCAGAATAAAGATTGCTTAGTAACAGATTTGGTACAAAACATACGATAAGGAAAAGGTATATAGTTGATTTGGGTGATCGTCCATCGGTTCTTCATGATGTAGGCAGAGCGCTTTTAGCAGTGTCCAATCATTAGTACGCCAAGGTGACACTGCTGAAAGTAGCTGGCACTCCGCTACCAAGCATTAAAATTTGATTTGCAACTGTTGCGGCATAAAGCGCCTTAGGAATTTCAATAATTCGTTGAATGCTAACCGGTGGGAAATCCACCCATATAATACTCCGTGTTTCTGCCTGACAACCTACCGGTTAGCTTATCATGGTAGCTGTATCACCACCGAAGAGATCACTGCCGCTGTGTCAAGACTTATCGGACCCTTCATAGTCTCTGTCACTTACGCAGGCGGTAAAATGTAAGCGGACTGGCCAAACGAAGGGCTTGTGCGCGACCAGTGTAACTGTGTAGATCAAAGAAACAACCAATGCACCCTGACGACATCAATGGACTGATCGCGTTTGACCACCGAGACCTACTAAGTATCGAGTAATATTTCAGTTCGCTAACCGGTACCTCGATAAAGCAATTGTTGAAATCGACTGACCTCTCCCCGTCCAAGCCACGTGATCTGTTTGCGTGTACGTATGTGTTACCAGCTATTATTGCACCTGTTTAGGCGAAAACCTGAGGTGGCCAGTCAACGAGGTGACAAAAAAGTGAAGAAACACACCAAAAGGCTACGCTAGATTAGTGCTTTGTCTTCATGCATCAGCTACATGAGTGATTAGATACCCTGTTGTAATCGATGCAGTCGGATCCTCAAACAATCTTAGATGAATTATTGTCATCATTTGAACTGAATCAAAACAGTTAGATCCAACACACGTGGTGTATGGATCACGACTAAGTCCCTGAGCTAGACTAGAAAGACCAAGAAATAGGAGGAATTGTCGGTGGTTGCATCGTGCTTCCGATTTCCTGTTTCATTGGGGGCATAAAGTGTCCACATGCGTGCACTTGCTGCGCAAAGAATTGTGTCCGATAGCGGCAAATGTCACCGAGTGAGATAGGGGGTAGTTAAAAGGCTTCTTATCCACAAAGAAAAATAATGTATATACATACGCAAAGATGAAAGGATATCGGAAAAACGCACGCAAAAGTAATGGACAGGTATTCGAACTGTGGTAAGCAGAGAGGCTTAATTGGCACTGGTATGCCGGGCAATAGGACTATACGGTTGAAGGCAGTTTGAAGCAGAAACTCTAGTAACACCATGGGATCATGCGTGAAACTGTAGGCCAATGAAGGGATAGTTAGGAGATGGTTTCTTCATGTAGATCTCCATGAATAAGGCGAACGTACACAGTATTCCATGTTGAGTATGTTGCAACGGTGGCAGTGGAGTGGATTGTAGGATATTCAAGGGCCTACACAGGAGATATTCGATTTCGTGTATGCATCCGATGTCAGAATTAATTGCAGACTCCTACTGCCATGCGCCACTGGCAAAAGAAGCTATGGAGTAAACGTATATCAGCTTATCGCCCCGGGAAGTAAGAAACAGGTGGCAGTCGAGTGGAAATAAGAATCTTCAAGTCTAAAGACAGCCCAGAATCTAGAAAGGGACTGTGTCCATGTTGCATAAGGAGCAGGTTTTGGTCCTCATTGCCGCTGCTCAGTTACCGAGGTGTCGGTGGACTGACCCATTAGTGTTTGGCCACATCAGCAAACATCCAACAGAGTTAGAAGCAAAAACGATGTTTACAAGTTCCATGAGTTTAAAAGCTAACTAATCCATTGTCCGCAGCAAACATGAAAGCCAGAGAGTCAGGTTACTAAAATGTGGAATGCACTACCTGAATGGTTAGCGGAAGTCCGAATGGATAAGCACTGTAGGTTAACATTGCTTTCCATAGAGGGTTTGATCAACTTAATCGGACCAATAGGTGCCAGTCATCGAAGAACGGTTTGGGATTGCAAATGGCCGGAACAAACATTCTTCCAAAAACTATGACAAATGAACATTGGTACAAACAAGCGCAATGAGTGGTTCACACATCAAGCGATGATCGTCGCGGCGACAATGCACTGAATAGAAATAGGCTAACCTGAAGGCACCATCTGATGCGGTACGCTGCTTCAAGTCCACAACAGGAGCCACAGTAGGCTTGGAGCTGATTTGGCCTCCGAGTGCATCGCGGCGGCCTTGAGCACGCTTGGCTGCCATATGAGATTGCATAAATTTCAGACTAGGCGATAATAAAAGGAATGAAAAGAATGTAACTCGTGTGGAAAAAGTAGCTAGAATGGGGAAAAACAGATGTCTCGACAAATGTCTTAAACACAGGCGCAAATCTGGGTTTTGACAGTTATCTAGGATAGACACCAAAACAAAAGTCGTGGGGAAAATGGAACCGGTTTGTCTCGACAAAGCGATTCGTGTGTATTCTAAGGAGTAGCAGTTATTTTGGTGCACGCATTGCAAAGCTCAGTATGAGTGAGATGTTCCCCTATTTGAGTTTGTTGTTCGATGGCAATTAAAATAGTTTGGGATATTGGCGACGAATTACGAGTATGCAAGTAGAGGAAATATCGCCGAAGATACGCATCAAAAGCCGATCGCAGAATGACTCATACTCGTTGTATTCGAAACAGGTAAGTTCACAATTGTGTTGATAGCTGAATTACGCTTTATCGGTTCACTTTTAGAATGATGAATAACTTCGGCAGGCCGATGGTAATCGATTTGTATGGAATCCAGTGAACAATCACACGTGATCAGTCCGATTTAGTCGATCCGTTAGAGTCAACAGGCAGTGAGAATAGGCAAGCAGCCTCTGTTACTTCGATATCGAAGTGGCTGTCGAAAGATTAACTGAATAAAATGATTGCAGTCTGAGGCAGATCTATCCAGTGTGAAATCAAATAAGCCGTATGATGCCCAACAACCATTGGAAAGAGTAACTACTTCAATCTGTTATCAGCATTTCGATCGCACTAATTACACCTGATTGCGACTGACAAAACTGATCACCTCAGTTTGAAGCTTAATCAAAAAGCCAATTGTGGAATGAAGAGCAATCCAAATCTTGGCGGAAAATTGGTCGAGATAACGGCTGAGCCGACTAAGCCATATCAGCAGACTGGCCAGTAAAACCACAATGCTGTAGAGAGAGTGGCTTCTGAGTTGGCCATTGCTGACGCACAATGAAACGCTGTAAGTAGTGAGAACAAGATGGCAGTGATTTGGCTACCAATACCGCTCAGCCTAGTTCCATGTTTTGAAAGATGGGTGGATTATTAGTTCAATCTCGCTCAGACAGTGCCTCAGGCAGTAGTTTTATAGACTACAATCTGGTGTAGATCTTAGTAAGGTGACCCAATCAAAAATCGAACGTCTTAGTTCAGTCTTTGATTGGGTGACTGAACCACCGAGCAGTCAAATCGGAACGATAATGCCAGTAATGAATGAATCACCCTTCGGATGCATTTCCACAGCTGCAAACGAAAAGCATACAACGATCCGTCGAACATTCAATGCCGCCAAATTCTGCCCCATTTGGGAGACCAGGAAGTTGCGTATGCCTCCAGTGAAGTCTAGTCAACCGATCTCCTCAACAACCATTGTATTTACCAATTCGTTTGTAACTGCGGTATAGTTACATTGGCAGAACAGATCGATCGTTGGGTAAGCGCATTGGAGTATATCCAAAAACGGATTGCTAAACTATCGACACAAAAAGCAGCTGAACGAAAAAAGGTATCTAAGCTGCCGGCATCATCTATCGCCAGACATCTACTCGAAACAGACCATCAGGTTGACCCTGGGTCAACAATTACAGTTATGTATCGAAATTAAAATCCCAGAGTTTTGTGGTTTGCCGAAGCGGTGGCATTTAACCTGCATCGTCCTATCATCTGTGTACAGAAACAATTATCAGTCTCCCTAAAGCTTCCTTGTGGCTCATGATCCTAAGATCAAGCTCGTTGATCTGTTATTCTTGAGCCTACGTAATTTTCCTTTGTGACCAATTCAAACCTTCGATTTTTCTGTCACATGATTCATATTTATTTTGTTAGTTTGCGAGTGAGCAGATAACACGAAATGGTTCCATCTCGCAATACCAGTCTTCTCATTGTCTTATTTAGAAAAGCATAGAGTTAAAGAGTGGTGATCCGTCTAAAAAGGTCGGTATTAACCGCATGTTGAAATGAGGTAGGTTGCCGGTACCCCAGGTATTCGAGACAGATGTCGTAGAAATATGTCGTCACAACCGATACACAGAATGTATTGGTGCGCGGATTTGCAAGTCCCATCGATTCCAAAATTTCATACAGATGGGTAGGGTATGAGGATTGGCGGTTAACTGCGGTTACGAGGATTGCTATTGTGAAAGGAATGTTCAGCTGCATAAGGCAGTGGCGCAATCGATCAGCGCCACGGTGGTTAACAACGAGGTTGGTGAGGCCGCCAGTTCTCCAAGTTTCCATGAGTCATTTCGCAATGTAGGCAAAAGTTCAAGAAAGCATCTGCTTTCAGATGCATATATGTTGGCCCCCGGGACATTTCGAATTCGTACATTCTGACTGGTTATGATGTTTGTATGAGAGGAACTCAGTCACATGTAAATCTACTCCTTATGTTTAATGTGAGCATTAGGCAGTCAGTGGAAGATGCTTACTGGGTGGATGTTCAAGGTTGATGAGCCAAATGACAGCATCACCAGAACAAGAAGCAAAATGAAGTTGATTGTTTGTTGTGCAGAATATTAACTGAAAAATATAATTTCACAACACGTACCATGGCGTGCCTGAATAATAGATGCTCCACAAGTCCCTAAATTGCGCACACTACGAATGTTCATTCGATATTTAGGTCCGGACTTGGTAGATACGAATCAAATGCATTAAAGTCTGGGTGCACAGTGTTTATTACGATTGCCGCCTAGCTGTCCGTCTGTGTTCGATGCATAAATACGCTGTTCTAACAGTCGATCTGTTTGGACTAACTGTTGTGTGTGCATAGACTGCGACACGTAATATCAAGCTATATGGCGATTTACTGCGGAATGAAATGTATTCACTTTATCCATTAGGACCGTATCAGAAGCGAATAATTGTTGAGTGTCCCAGTTTGAATACCATTAACAAACATCAAAACGGCGCAAAAAGTGGACACAACGCTCAACATGCAACTGCCATTAGATTTACCGAAAATATTACTAAAAAGGGATCATTTAACAGGTGTTCGCTCATTTAAAAACGAATAGATTGAAACAGTTCGCCACAACTGCAGCCAACGTAAGAAGCAGTACCTACTAATGGCCGGAGACCAATGTTTCTTCTATCAATCGCCCGTCGGATGAAAAACGTTTTGACTCAACTGATAAACGTGTAATTCTGATCGTTTGGGCGGATGGCGACTCACACTTGTGGTTTACGTGTGATGAAACTGCTTGAGTACGCTTCAAAACCACATTATCCTGAAAAAGCAATAAGGTTTACCACCTGCCATTGCTGTCAGAGACCGGAATAGATTGACTAAAGCCATAGAAAGATAGCCTTAACGATACTCGCTCATCTGGTACAATTACTTTTTTCTGGGTCACAGGTCGTCAGTGACCGGAAAAGAAAGTGGCTATATAAGCTGAACCAAACACGTACCATGTAGTTGCTCACAACTGAGATAACCACAACAAAAACCGAAGTCCAAAAAAGATCTTTTGATCTTTGAGTACAGATTGAATACATAATCACCGATAAGCGCACTAGCATGGAAATAGCTTGCTGGGATGCAGGTGCAGGATGATGGACACAGTATCGTCAATGAGAAGCTGAAGCAAGGACTAGTGGTGGAGTGTCTCAGGCATCCAGCCGGTAATACACGAGTCGCCGGTTCTAGCTTGAATTGGTGTAAACGTCCTCGTAGTATCCTAGCCGAAGCGTAAACACTGAAAACCAACTATCGGCACAAAGTTTCGGTGTACCGCAGACACCTGATGTTCGAAGCCATGGCAAAGTATTATCAGTGAAGATGCGTATCGGGATCGAATCGCGCAAGTGAACAAACCAATTCCACTTACCGGAATTCAGTTAATCCCAAACATATCCACAAGTCAGCCGGTTCTGTCATGGGAGTCGTTTGCGAGCACAAAAGCTCTTCGCAATTCAATCGTGTGACAAATATAACTAAAACGGATATCGCCACCACGGCGAACACCTAAATGGAATCAGGATAGATGGCGAAAACAAAGCGAGATAAGCGAAGAATTTTTGGTGTTATCCGCTCCCAACAACGAGAGCTGTCCACATTTGAATACAGCTTGAGTGATCAAGATGATTTAGGTTCCAACAAAGATAGCGTATCACAATCCAACCACACGGCTGGACTCCAAAACATAACATTGTATATTTGCAAAAGTCTGCTAACACACATAATGCCATCAGAAACCATGGGATTTAAACGAAGGTACAGAAACAGTAAAACAGAACACAACACAACAATTCCCATGGTTTCCTCAGAGCGCAAGATACTACCCGGTTGCTCAAGCCGAAGTAGGGTGTTGACTTAGGGGACACCACCCCGAGCCTTTGGCTGAATAGTCTGCCCGCAAGGCAGCGGAGCGAATTCAGGGAATCGCGCCCATTGGGAGCCGGTGACTGATTGCTCAGTTCATACGCCTTTCGTTTGTTCCTTTGTCAAAACAGGGGCCTAATGCTCCCCAGAAGTACAGCATAAGGTTGCTGGAATACAATGCTTCGCCAGGATGAAGCAAGGGGCAGTGACTTTATTTAGTGGCGAGTCACGTCCGCCACGTCACAGTGTTGTTAAACGGACATATGTGGCTTTTTATAGGGAGAACGCTTGCCAGGCGAAAACCCATCACGTCCTGGAACACTGCCGCCGAACCATTTGCTGGAACGGGAAAATCCCGAACCACCCAGCTGGCATCACGAGGAGGTTGTTCGGCAAGCCATTGAAAGTGAGGTAAAGCAAAACGGCTTGTCTAGGTGATCGCTCTAATGTAACTCGTACATAGTAAGGAGACTTACTAGGGGAAGAATATCTGTATGTTTTACCTGCGTCACATAAGGAATGGCAATAGACCCTAGGGATGGCGGCAGGATGCATCAGGAATAGAAGACAGAAGCAACCGAAAAGGATGTGGGGTTGGTCTATTAGCGGAAACAAATGGGAAGTGGAGTATTTTACGGTGCATTGTATTACTACAGAATGAGAGCCCACGCT